GAAAAGATTTAAGCTGTCTTCCTGAAATTATTTCCTTTACTCTTCTTGAGCACCTTCAAATAAGGTAATCTCTATGCCTTTTAATTTTAGTTTCAAAAGTTTGACGTTAAAAGCTAATGATAGTTTTTTATGGTTAAATCATCTTACTGGGTATTTGTATAAGTCTCAATTAGCTGTAAAAGGGTTATACCATTTTCGTAAGGCGATCTTTTATCTACCACTGAAGTAACTATCACAGATTTGCTATAGCCCGTAGCGAGGCGTTACAGGAAGCATACAGTCAGAACAAAACTGAGCGTTCAAATTTACATGAGCATCTGCCACGGAAATCTTGCGTTAAATATTTATAACTTGTTTGTCCATTTTAAGATCAAAGACGTGTGGAAATAACGATCTTTGACTGCACTTATTACAACAAAAAGTGGAAAAGAAATAAAAGCAAAAATGCAAATTAAGGGCCATTACTAACATGTGGAAAATAAGCATCGTGCAGGTACAGCAAGAACATCTAAAAGTCTTTTACTACTTGCGTAGACGAAAACACGTTGTGAAGTAGCTACTGCAAAGTTGGCGCAGAAAGAAATGTTGTAACTAAGTGGCAGGGAAATCAGGGCCGACTGTGCGTGCAGCATAATGAGCGAAAAAGAATAGGAGTCAAAATTTTCATGGAATTAAAAGGTTTTTTACTAATTGGTGAGAGGTAAAATAGTAGTAAGGAACTTTGTATCTTACAACTTGAAAAGCATTTATAGAATGTGAGAGTAAGATACTTAACGAGTTAGCAAATATGACAGGGAAAGTTTTGAGGTTTGAAAAGAAATAACTTATAAACTTTTAGTAAGCATACAAAAAAAGACCACTAATATATGAAGACGAAGGAACTTAAGAATAAGGTGAGAAAGGAGTAGGGATGGCTGTGTTGATCTCTCAAGATCTGAACCGATTTGCTGTGACAGGAAAGCTGACAGATTTTCTTCAACAACAGTTTTGCTGTCTATACGTGCAATAA